ATATTCGTGAATTGAAATTGTGTATTGCCCTTTTTGGGGAAAAATATTTCAAGTTAAATGATTTGTTACTTGTTTATGATATTAACTTGTGCTTCGATTGCCAATCATTTTGATCCATTTCTTGGAAAGAAATCCATTGTGTTTAAAGCCTTCATTACTAATGAACCTAAAGTTGTGATTTCGGAAATATTCTATTCGTTGATATTTATGATGATGATCCATGAAAGGGAAGAATAAAAGTGTAGAATATGAAATATGGCCATTGTTCCATGAATGAAGAATTATATGTATGGCCAAGAGAGGCTATGAGATAATGATGTTACAAGTTGTTGAAAATGCTAATGAGGCTATATACGGTATGAAAGGTTATGAGGTAAATGCATTTTTATTGTTGTTTCCTTTGCAAGTAAATTAAAAATATTTTTGGGAGTATCGATAGTTACCGAGAAAGGATAGGTTGAAATAACATAACCCCGAAACTACACACGCCGGTGTAGGAGTGGATTGTAATTATTCCCCCTGATTTGGAATGTGATTGATGTGATAAAATTATTCCCCTTAATTGGGATGAGATGATTGATAGAAAAGGATGATGTCGATCCACATGGCATTATGGTGAGACGACCTAGCCGATTGGGTCGTGATCGGACTCCGTGCTAAAAGTACAGTGATATTCGTATTGTGAACGGTGGTATATCGGTGCTAAATATCTCCCAACCAAAAAAATAATATTATCTTCATATTTTGGAAATTATCATGTTTTAACTTGGAAATTAGATATCATTGATTGTTGATTGTTGTTTCCATGGGTTTCCATTTATGTTGGCATTCTATTTTGAAAGAGGAGATTTAGCTTTACATACAAATACTATTTCATATACTAACATCCATTTTTATGCCGGGGGCATTGCATCTTCAATGGATGCAGGTGGTTCCACAGCAGGAGGCATTGATCAGTGATAGCGGTACACTCTCTTCAGCTGACTTGGTTAGCCCCACTTCATTTCGGGGTCATGTATATCTTGTTTCTCATGTACTTTGTGTTTTGAGGTATAGCAGGGGCCTTGTTATCGGCATTTCTATATTACTCTTCAGTTGTACTTAGAGGCTTTGTAGAGAGGTTGTGGGTGGTGTTTGATATTGGGAATTGAATCAGAAATGTTGGTATTTGGCAAACATATTTTTCTCGTTGAATCTATAAAGTCGTACTATTTTGGAAATATTAAATGATGTTGTTATTGGGAATGAAATGGAAGTGGTTAATGAAATTTTTTGGAAGTGATTAATAAAATCTTTTCAGTGTTTGATTAATGGAGTACATCTCCTCTTCATTCAGGGATGATTTTAGGTAGAATGAAATATAACAGGCTTGCTCAGCCGGGTTTACTCGATTGAGTGCCGGTCGCGCTCCCCGAGTTTTGGGCATGACAGTTTGATATTTTTTATCCTAGACGACTATTACTACCTAGAGTTTGACTGCATTCATGGATTCGATCTTGTTTCATCTTGCTGTTATTCATACTTGTTGCAATTACCTTTTCTATTCAATCGTTCTCTAGCCGAGGGTCTATCGGAAATAACCTCTTTGCTCTTCCAATGGTAGGGGTAAGGCTGCGTACATCTTACCCTCCAGCGAATTTTCTTCTCTTCTTTGCTATTTAGTCACATACAATGATACAAATATATTGTATTCAGTACAAATACACTGAAATATATTGTATTTTTGTATAAATACATTATTTTTTGCTTGTATTTATGTATTCCAAAGGTCCGTATTTTCTTAATACAACCGAATATCACTATGTTTTGTGATTTTTTGTTGTTTTGAATATAGCCGAATTGAATACGGTGAATTGAATACAATGTATAATAGTGAATATATGTGATTTGAATACAATGTATACAATCGAATTGAATAGAACGGTATACACTCTATTTTCTTGATTTTTTGTTGTTTGAATACAACTGAATTCAATATAGTGAAATTGAATATAATTTAATATTGCGCTTTGTGTTATTAAACACTCGTAATCACTTTTTTTAGGCGAATTATCTCACTGTATTTATAAATACATTTGCACGAATACATGAAATACATAACTAGACATCTGTAATCCCTGTTTTTTACTTTATTGTATATATAAATACAGTCGCGCGAATACATGGAATACAATGCAATAGCAGTGAAATTTATGTAGAATTGATTTTGTTAAGTTAAATTAGGAGTGATACACGCTAATTGATCCTCTTTCCGTTATTAAACAACTGGATTCTTCTATTTTTAGGCTAATTCCGCAATTGTATTCATGAATACAGTAGCGCTAATGTAGCGAATACAGTCGCGTACAGATGGATTCCCCTATTTTTAGGCGATTTTTGCTACTGTATTCATGAATACAGTAGCGCGAATACATCGAATAGACTCGCGTAATAACTGGATAGTAGCTATAAGAAGTAATTATGTATATGGCAGCTATAAGAAGTTAATAACCACTAAACAATAGTGGTTTCTGAAAATTCCTCTTCATAAATAGTATTAATTTTTCAGATTAAGTACCTGAATATAGTTGTAGTTATCCATACTCAAGTGACAACTTTGATGCACTATGTGACTAAGTACCCCTATAGGTTTGGGGTTCGATCCCCGTATAGTTCTTTTTAATGAATGCATTATATATATAATAAACAAACAAAATCCTAATTTTTCATCCCCTTTTTATTTAGCTAGCGTTTGGCTATAGATTCCCAAATTTATTTTGAAAAATCTTATTTGGGTGAAGTTTGGTTTGAAGATGAAAATGTGTTTGGACATCAGTTTTCAAAACATATTTCCCAAATTTATATTGGAAAAACATGAAACATGACTTGTACCTACAAGTTTTAAAAACTATCACAAATACCAAACAGAACCATTATCAATAACATTCATTATATTATCGCAAACCATAATCCTGAACATAAATAAATTTGGTACAAAATTATTATTTTTATAATGAACCATGATACACTATCAGATGACCGATATGAAGCAGTATAGTTACAAAATAATAAATGGCGGGCTCCTTTATAAAATACAAATTTTTGGCGCAATTTTTTTAAAATGTAATAGTGATATTATGGCTTTGAGATTTGGAATTTTGCGAAATGTTGGCAAAATCTATGGCCAAACATGTGTTTGCCAAATAAAACCTAAATTTATTTTGGCAAAATCTATGATCAAATGGGTCCTTAATATAATGGTATATTCATATGCTTAAAATCCTAGTTACGCCTCCGCAACCGCTATCACTATAGAATTCGTTGTTACCTATGGATTGCAAAACTAAATTATTGGCAAATCGTGTGTCAATTTGTTTTTAAGTTGGTATATTTGTATCAATTTTTCACACAAACAAAAAACAAAAGATTTATCAAGATAAACTTTGCTTGGGAGGTAGGCAGGGGTGAATGTAGTATTGAGATAACATATTTAATTGAACCTATTACTTTTAACGTAGAATATAAATTTAAGTGTAAAAATTTATTAAAGGGAAAAGTACAGAAATAGCCAATTTAAATACAAACTTACCGAGCTGTAGCCCAAAATTAGACACTTACCAAAAGTAGCCCAAAATTAGAGATACACGTAAGGAAGGATTCTTCTATCCGAGAATCACGCTAAAAATCCTCCTTCCTTCCCTGTGTGTATCAATTTAACAGATCACGACATTCTCTACCTCTGTAAATCACGGCATTCTCTCTCAAAAATTTCTCAAAATGAGCTCCAAATTTCACTCAAAATCGATCAATTTCACTATATACCTTCGCAATTTCTGTGTAGATACAGCTTTTGCAATTTCTGTGTAGAAGGAACTACGAACTGCAATCACAATCAATCAAGGAATTAGTGAGTTTTGACCTAATTTCAGCTACTTCTATGGCAAATTTACCAATTTTTGTTCAGTAAGGTGGCCGATGGAATGTTGACAACAACTTTGTAGATTATAATGCAGACGCTGTAATAGTTACTCCAAATATAAGTTTTGAAGATTTTGTAGACGTGATTTCGAAACAACTTAAGATAGATACTTCATTGAATGATATTGAAATCAAATACACTGTCCAAAACAGTTCTCCGCCAATAGTGATACACAATAGTATGGGTCTATGTGTATATCTTGAGCTGAAAAAAAGCTCAGAATTTACAATGTATCCCCTTTGTATAACATCGAGTGAAAAGGATATGGACATGATCTGCTACAATTCCAATTCTGCTGTGATTTTGCTCAGAATGTGCACAAAGCTCAGTTGTAGAGGAGAGATACAATGGCAATGCAAATAAGATGATCGAGTTTGGGGATGGAGAAGACTGGAATGATACAGAATCTGATGAAAATACAATAATAACTGACCCTCAACACACAGATGTAAAAGAAGGTCAAATTTATAAAGACAAGGCAACGATAATCAAAGTCATGAAGCACTTGGCATTAACGGAAAAATTTCAGTTTAAGGTGCATAGATCAAGTGAAAGCAGGTATCAAAATTTTTATTGTATAATTATGTATCTCAATGTATATCGCAGTTGATGTTAGAAGCATAATTATGCAGAAAATAAGTTGTTGCTTGTAAGTATGTGGCTGTACACTTTTAAATTATGGTTGTCACCGTCTAGTACTGTATAGTCGTTGTATTTTTTCATCTAGTATTGTTGATTGCAGTGTGTATCACTATGTATCATTGTATTTCATGTCGCTCTGTTTATTGATGGAAAAGTTTATATCCTTGTCGTAGGTACTGCCTAGTATGCATCAACAACAACTGTGATTGGTATTTTAAGTCTTCTTGCCTGAAAAAAGCAAACGTTTTCAAGGTCAGAAATTTCAGCAAAGTGCTCATGCCCCCTGAAAGACAGATCTTACGCACAACGTCAAGCTACTGCAAAACTCATCGGCAGTCTTCTGATAGACAAGTATAAAGACCCAAAAATAATATACACTCCTAATGACATAATTGGAGACATGAACAAGCAGTATGGTCTTCAGATGACATATATGCAAGCATGGAGATCGAAAGAATATGCAGTTCAAGTACTGAGAGGGAACCCAAGCGAATCATATGAAAAGCTGCCAAGCTACTTTTATATGCTGGTTCTTACAAATCCTGTGTCGGTGGTAAATTTGAAAAAAACAGAGGAAGACTTGTTCATGTATGCTTTCGTTGCACTATATCCGTCTATAAAAGGATGGCAGTATTGCAAACCGGTTGTTGTTGTAGAAGGAACTTTTCTTGAATCGGCATATAGAGGAACATTATTGATAGCATCAACACAAGATCCAGCAGGTAATATCCTACCACTCGCATATGCTATAGTAGATTCAGAGAATAATGCTTCCTGGGAGTGGTTTATTGCGAGATTCAAGGATGCATTTGGGGAAAGGGAGGGAATGTGCATAGTCTCGGACAGGCATGAAGGCATTGAAAATGCAGCAGCAACATTGTATCCACAAGTACCTCATTGTGTCTGCATATGGCATCTATGGAATAATGTAAAAAAAAATTACAAAAACAATCATTTGCTGCTCAAAGACATATTCTTTGCTATGGCCAAAGCATACACAGTTGAGAAGTTTGATTACCACATGGCAGAGGTAAAGAAAATTGATAAGAGGGTCAAAGATTACTTAATGAATGTTGGGTATGAAAGATGGTCGAGAGCACATTCCACTGTCAACAGAACATTGACAATGACTTCAAACATTGCGGAGTCGATCAATGCAGCGCTCAAGGCTGCTAGGGAACTCCCAGTACTGCCTTTGCTAGACTACATAAGGCAATTGATCGGACGATGGAATGTTACAAACCTAAAGAATGCAGTAGAGTCATTCACTGATCTTGGAAAAAAATATGATACAATACTGATGACAATCTTGAATTGTCACATCAGATGAAGGTATGACTGGAATCTGTAAATACTTGTGCATAGAATATGTAATCATGCCGAATTTACGGATCTGTTATATCTTAACCCTTTGTGTGATTCTGTTAAACTAGTGTTTACATGCACAAAAGCAAAGGCTTTCAATTTAATGTAGCATTTATGCCTACCCCACTCTTGAAATATTGCTTGGTTTGACATGACATTAAGCTATTTTAATCTTGTAGGCTCTCTAGTATATGTATTTTGAGGGCATCTGCTTTGTCACCACTAATGATAGTTGATAAATTTTGTAGGTGACCCCTTCGACGAGTTACTTATATTCAGTACTTGACAAGGGTAAGCTGAGAATGGTGTTCCTAAAAGATCGAACTTGCAGCTGTAGAAGGTTTCAGTTGGATGAGCTGCCATGTGCACATGCTTGGGCAGTATTAAAATACAAACACATTGATCACATTGAGTATTGCTCGGTGTACTACACCACGAAGTACCTATTGAAGACCTATGAAATTCCAATTTATCCGGTTCCTGATGAAAGCACATGGGAAATTCCTGCAGAAGTTCTAAATGAAAAAGTCTTGCCACCAGATGTGACTAAAACAATAGGAAGGCCAAGAAAGGGGAGGTGCAAGCCAATATCTGAAAGGGAACGAAAAAGGTCGATTAAATGTGGACAGTGTGGAGAAGAAGGTCACAACAGAAAAACTTGTAGAAATAATCCAAAGAGAGGATGAAATATGTCAAATTTAGAATTACTTGTTATTTTACTTTACTGAATATCATAGAGATTTAGAAGAATGCAATATATCAAGAACTATATCATTGTAGAATGTCATTTGAATTTTAGATATAAATAAATATTTGACCTATCATTTAAAATCGTGTTGCAAGTTTATATTATACATCTGTTTGATTTAAAAAGAAGTTGTATCAGCTATGTATCACATTTGTATCATATATGTATCGCTTGTGCAACACATTTGTATCATCTATGCATCACTTGTATATCAACTATGTATCTCTATTTATAGGCTCTTACTCATGCCTGCATTTGTGTAGTAACAAAGCTAACTAATGGTAGCAGCTAGAAAACTATGCAAAATAGTTTTAGAAATTTGCAAATATAAGTGGCTTCATCAATACATATTTGAAAAGTATGTATCATTTGTGTAACATATCTGTATCATATGTGTATCATATCTGTATCATGTATGTATCATGCGTGTATCTGCAAGAGACACTGTATCACAAACTACCGTATATTTATCATATCTATAATTCACAACACAAAATCAAGGGAGAAAACACCAAAATAAACTAAACTGCAACAATCCAATATCGCACTGAAACTCATTAAACCTTTATAACAGAACAAACATCTCATTTGCCATACGATTCTTAAAAGTATTGATAAAATTCAAACACAAACAAATCTGATCTGTCTTCCAATAATGACAACATAACAGAACAGAATACAAAAAACAAAATTATAGAGTTCATCCTACAACAATGACAAAAGTAACTACTTCTTCTGCTTCCCCGCCTTATTCTGTCGACCAATAATCTCATCATCAGTTTGCGCGTTCAGTTCCATCTTCTTTCTAGCATAATCCCACAAGAAAGCACCAAATCTGCGCCGGTGTGCATAGGCATTGATTTTTTTAGGAGGCGTCTTGCCCTCAATGAAATACTCGGCAAATGATGCCGCAAATACACCGCAATCACTGCAAAAGTAATAAGAATGACAACTATCAAACTGCAGAATCTAAAAGCAAAACAGATTGTGTTGAAAGAAATTCATACGCTTCGACTTGTTGAGGCAATCCTTCAACCAATTTTACATCAAAGAGGGTAATCAAGTCTTTTGATTTGTAGACACCAGTGCGCCAATTGATATCTTTTTTGTTTAAATAGAAATGCGTGTGCACGAAAAAATGAGGCAGCAACACAGTATACTTGGACATGGCCTTATGAACTTTGGCTTGATGAGCAGCTCTACCGCGCATAGAGTCATACACATAAATGCACCTATCCTTGAAGGACATCACAGCCATTATCCAATGCCATTGTTCTGCAATATTAATTGGCATTAAGACACACTCGACAGTGTACCATAGAACATTGGCATCCAAGACAAACCCCTGAATATACTCTGCAATGACATGTTTCGAATTGCACACATCACTGTCTCCATCTGTATCAATAAACGCCTGCCACAACTCATTAATTTTCTCGTCGAAGTACCAATCTGTGGTGGTGAATGTTACAGGTAGGTCTTTGTCATACTTGCCCTTCTTCCTCAGATAATAGAACAAAACATCAATGTGCTGAAACAAAACATAACAAATAACTAATCACTAAACGCGCTCGAAAGCTTTAAGCAGCTACAGTTTTTCAAACCAAAATCACAGAAAATAAAGGAAAATGAATGCTCACTGCTAACTTAACAGGTCTGAGTGTTCATGTGTACACTGCCTAAAATTTAAAAAAAAATACTGCAAAAGTAAATTCTACATACCGAGTCATCCAAGGGCTGACCATTATATGCCAAAGTGTAAAACCAGTTTTTGTCTTCAACATGAAATATACCAAGATCATAAGCAGGATTGAGTTCACTAACATGCTTCGGGTAAATTTCATTCCTGGCAACATATATACACAAAAGAGTACACAATGATTTGATATAAAATAATTCTATAAGTGACAATATATTAAAATATAAAACTGAAAAAAAAATTAGAAGTTGGAAACATACTTCTTTCTGGACTTCCTTTCTTTGACCCACGCAGCAAAAGCATTCAACAAAGAGCTGTTAACACCAGTTCCGATTTTTCTTTGAAAAGGATGCTTAATAGCATAAATTTGCTTTTTTGCTTTCGCTGCAACAACACCAGTACTGGAACCTGAATCAAACACAGTAATGAACGGAGACTGCACGGCCTTTGCAGGACATCTCTTTCTTTTTTCATTTGCGGTGATACTTCAGGAAGTAATTCGGTATTGTACAGAACCATCTCCCCTGCCGCATCATCAACACTTGCAGTCGCACAAACAACACCAGTCCGAGATTCAGGAACCTTTTGTTTCTCATATTCTTCCTCCGTCTCCCCTGGCGCCGCATCAACACTTGCAGTCGCACAAACATCACCAGTTTGGGATTCAGCAACCTTTTGTTTCTCAGATTCTTCCTCCGTCTCCCCTGCCACCGCATCTGCAATCTCACCAATACCGCCACCATGTGCTACATTTGGTGTGAAAGTTACTTTAGCAACAAACATGTCAACTTTCACACCAGAAGGTCCTTCCATAGCATTGACACCTAACTGATCTGCTACATTAGTATCTCTTTGAGAATGTGGAACATCTTTGCCTTCACTTCCACCAACCTATTTTTTTTAAAAAGAATCGAATTATCAAAAATAACAAAGAAAAGAAAAGGGAAAAGTACAGAATGCACAACTAAACACACCTGACAACCATCCATTTCAACATCTTCATTGCCACCAAACTCCATATTGCTCACAAAATCATTATTGTCTTGACGACCACTAGTGTCTTCCTCTGGATGTGCACCATAATTGACTTCGCTTACACCAAGATATCTTTTAAAAAAGATATAGTAAGTTAACTAAAAAATAAAAAGAAATGCACAACGGAAAAGAAACACATACCTTGGAATTTATCAACTCAAACACCTCCTTGAATTTATCAGAAACATATTCCATGAAGGAATTTAACTGCTTATGGAGCTACAAGATGAAATAAATAAAAAAGATAATAGACTTTGAATATACAATTTGCAAAATAATTTCAAAAAAATATATAAAAAAGACCAATACATACTTGCTTCACATCAGCTTTCAACTTCTGCAACTCACGGTCATAATCAACAGGTTGGACGCCTGGCACGTTTTTTGGCGCCTTTTTTGGTGGGACAGGCTCCTTAATGTGTTTCGGGGGTGGCGAGACAAAATCATCGCTATCATCAATAGGAAGTTTTCCCCTGTTACGTGATGTAAAATATTTCTGATACTCATCGGTAACTTCAACAGGCAAAGTAAATCTTCTGAGCTCTTCAATTGTCGGAGAAATATTTTTAAACTACAAAGGTAACCAAAAGTGCTTCAGTCCTAGATGTATCAAAGATGTATAAAAACTGTATGTTTGATGTATCATAATGAATTATAGTGTATTATAAATGTATATCCCATCAAGACATAAAAGATTGTACCTTATTCCCTGTGCTGTTGAAGAAACCAGTAGAGAAGTCTTCACGCGTTGGTCTGTCTGTCATTTCCCAATTCAATATGCGTGGTGTATGATCTCCAACGCGAACAGCAAATTTTTGATCAACTACAGTGCAACATTCATAGAACCACACCTGTAGTGCAAGAGGAAATCCACCAATCCTATAAAACTCAGACTTCCCCCTCAACCTGTCCCTCACCGACTTCATTAAAGCTCGAAACGCAATCTTACCCCATGGAAACGACACATACTCATCACTCTCGACAAGATGGAAATCACGTTTACTTATAAATGTCTTCTGAGCCTGAGTGGACATTAGAAATGTGTTTATGAAATAAATGATTGCAATCTTAACTGCATCTTCATCAGACTGCCATTTCTTCTTCTCAAAACAATCAATAAGTGAGTTCTTTGACACCACTTCAAAACCAGAAAAATAAGTATCCACCAACCTATTGGGTCCACTGAATTTACCCTCAACAGGTTCATTAACACAACAGTTTAAACCACTTACAATACCAAATTCTCGAAGACCAAAATGTAAAACACATTCGTCATTCAATTTCACATACAATTGGTCACACTTATCTTGAACCAACTCCCTAAACATT